TGAGATGTGCCAGCGCTGATTAAATATTCAAAACTCGTGCGATACAGGGCTAAAAAACTCTAAAGCAAGTCTGTTAGTTTTTACAGGGAAGATTTCTTTGTTGGTTTTCAGAGCTGGTTGGATTTGTTTGCCCAACTCTCTGCTGTTAGCTCTGCGACGGCCTCGCCTGTCATTTTACAGCCTCTGAGACGAGACTCGGCCTGTTTATACAGATAAAGCTGCAGCTCAAGTCATTATTCAGAGAAACCTAAAGATGTGCTGTTTGCAAGCACTTCCTTGATTTTAGAGCAACAATAGCTTTTGTTTTGGTTTCCTTGGAGTTAGGTGGTTTCCAGTTTCAGCAGACATCCCTGTAAAAGTATCCTAAACTTAAACTTCATCCATGTAATGAGTGGGTAAATCGTGGCTCGTGTGCTTCTCACGGTTACAGGATGCAGATGAAAACATGGAGGCTGTGGTTTCATTTCTTAGCTGGTTGTCGTTGCAGGTGGGTGGCCTTTGAGAAGCCGGGGTTCAGCGGAGAACTCTACGTCCTGGAGAAAGGCATGTACGCAAACCCGGAGGACTGGGGAGCTCAGGACTTCAGGATCGCATCCATACAGCCCGTCTTCCACGTAAGAAACCATCAGCAGCCGTTAATCACACGTTAACGTCATAAAAGGTGCATCTCTGACAGCTCTGTTTGTTCTGCAGGACAGCATGGGAACCACGAAATTCAAGGTATCGGTCGTTCGTGTGCAGAAATGATGAGGAGTCTCTGTTAGTGTGTGCTGCTGGGTCGCTGAGGCTGTTTGGATGTGTTACAGGTCCAGCTCTACTCTGAGGAGCACTTCCAGGGACGGCTGGTGTGTCTGGAGGACAGCGCGGCAGCTCTGGATGAAGGCTTCACACCCAGGTCCTGTAAGGTGCTGGCTGGCAGGTAAACAACCACCACAAGCCTGTTTTAGGGAATCTTTGTCCCTTTCAGAGTACGCTCCTGTGAGACGTTCTCATATAGTTTGTTTCTGTTCCTCTACGTCAGGAATTAAACTCTTATCTTCAGATTTTAATGCTCAGAGTGAGTTAAACAAAAAAAGATTGACTCTTGGAGTGGGTGGAAAATTGATTTTGGTGTTTTTATCAGCCTTGTTGTCATGTGGTTATCGTCTGTACTTATGAAGTCATGAGGGGTCAGAAATGCTGCAAACAGAACTGCAAAAGTACCAAATTCATAGCACGAGGTCACATTTTTGCATGGCTTCATTCAATATACTGCATATTTGTTGTCAGCTGGGTGGCATATGAGGGATCCCAGTTCACGGAGAACATGTACATCCTGGAGGAGGGGGAGTACCCCAGCACAGAGGCAATGGGCTTCCTGTCCTCAGACTCGAGCTTCCGGTCCATCCGGACTGCAGGACATGTGAGTGTTTGTTCTCCCTGGACGTCTTCAGCCCTCTGTGGTGCTCTGTGTGAACTCAACCCTCTGCTCTCCACCTCCAGGAGTTCTCTCTGCCGTCCATCGCCCTGTTCACGAAGGTGGGCTGCAGAGGTCGCAGGGTGGTGCTGACACACGAAGCTGTGAACCTGCATCAGGCCGGCCTGGACGCTCGCATACGCTCCCTGGTGGTGGGCGGAGGAATGTAAGTGACAGAGATGAACGTTTGAGCCTCTGGTTTATAAATGTGACACCTGCCATCAGCACCAAGGTTTTATATGCAGCAGGTTCTGGTTCAGAACGGACCTTTCAGGTGTGTCTGCACACCTGGTCATAGAAGCGTAATTATGCAACAGTGAATGAAAATATTGTTATCTTATAATAGTAATCAGCAGTTCACCACAAAGTACTGAACTTGAATTATAAGTCGGCCCAGTGAATGTTTTGTTTCATCCAAATAATTGGACCCATTTTATTAGCAGCCTTTTGTGAGTAAAGTCATCACTTCCTGCTTTAAAACTGTGTGACGGGGCCCCCAGCTGGAGCAATACAGCCACTGCAGGGAGCTGACAATGAGCTAAAACGATGTCGTCTGTCTCCAGGTGGGTGCTGTATGAGGGCAGTAACTACAGAGGTCGACAGCTGATCCTCCAACCAACCCAAGAGGCTGATTTATTTCAGCGTAGCGGCTTTCAGCGGATTGGATCCCTCCGCCCATTACTGCAGGTAAATCCTGACTGGCCCATTTAACGCCAGCACCTGAGATGTTTTTGGATTGGTGTTATTTGAGACTTTGGTCATGTTTAACATGAACATCTGCCACAGGAACAGGAGAGGCAGAGCAGGTCCTCTTTAAGGGAGAGCGACTTTATTTCAGTAGAAATGTTAAATGTGTGTCTTTGCATCGAATGCCAGACTGATGCTTCGTGAATCTCTTCCTGACGTCCGCTGTGACTAACATCTGTATTTTGTACTTGTTGCTCCTAACACAGAAACCGATGTACTTCCGCCTGAGGAACAGGGAGACGGGATGCATGATGTCTCTGACGGGAACGCTGGATGACATCAAGCTGATGAGAGTGCAGGCCGTGGAGGAGTCGGGGGGAGAGGAGCAGGTGTGGCTCTATCGGGACGGATATCTCACCTGCAAGGTACGCCGGCGAAAACTGCTGAAACTGACAGCTGCACAGGTTCTCACATGAGCTTATTTACTCTGAACCTCAATCACACAAGCACATTTTCCGTGCTCATTCCCTGTAAGTGCTTCTAACATTCACACACATTCAGACTCCAATCGGAGTATCTTGGCGTTAGTATCCTGCCCAGTCCGCATGCCAAGGATGTTTGGCGTGCAGATTAGTAGGAGACCTGCTCTACCACCTGAGCTACAGCCACAGTAGCACTACATGCAGCTAGATTCGGGCTTTTAATTCAGTGCTAAATTATGAATTTCTCGTATTTACCTGCACATGGTTTGATAATCCGTCCTACTTCTGCTTCTGTTTATAAATCTTTGGGTTTAAGGGTGCGTCTCAAATGTTTTCGGGTCTCTTTGTTCTGCACTTGTTGGCTCTTCTCTTTTTTGCTTCCTCGCTTCGTAAAAACTCAGCCTCTCCTATTGAACGAGCCTTTTTCCTCCACCCCACCTGCTGGTTCATGTTACAGAGGGAGAGTAGAGCGTGTTCAGCAAGTTCATTTTAATCATTTTTAATATGAACTCATCTGCAGTTCAGCTCATTCGTAGATTAAAAGTAGGATTTCCTTGTTAATGCTGACCACTTCCTCCTCTGCGTCCTCAGGTGGTTGAGGACTGTCTCCTGGAGTCCTCGGGCAGCGTGATGATGGCGGGCAGCCGTATCTGCGTTTCTCCCGAGCGAGGCAAAGATAGCCAGCTGTGGAACATCAGCCCAGACGGTGTGGTTCACAGCAACCTCAAACCAGACCTCATCCTGGAGGTCAAAGGTCAGACACCTCTATTTTTACACCTTCAGTTCACATTACTTTTTTTTTCCTTTGCTGTTCATTTTAAGTTGAGCTGATTAAAAAGTGATAACTAATTTTTTAAGAAAATTAAGTGATGACTGAACTCGAGCTGTGTCGTCTGTTTCCAGGTGGGCATCAGTACGATAAAAACCAGGTGATCCTCAACACGTTTGATGAGCGAAAGCTGAGCCAGAGGTGGAGTTTGGAGCTGCTGTGATGACTCTCACGGCCTCCTGACGGAGCTCCGTCACGCTGGGCCCTCAGACGCAGCTCCGCCGTGGAGCCCACAACGATGTTCGCTGTCGTGTTTGCTTGGAAAGACGATGCGCTGGATTACGAGCTCACGTTGATGAACAAAATGTTTTTAGCTGACCTTTAACCCAAAGACTGTTTACTTCAGCGAGACCTCTGCCCTGTTTCAATGCTGCACCTTTTCCTGTACGGTACTTCTCTTACACTCCAGAAGCTGTTTGTAGATCAAAGTGATCCGCTGTAAAGTTTTTAATTTTTTTACACACACACACACACACACACACACACACACACCGTCGTCTGTACAGAACCACTGAGTATAAAGACTTTGAGTTTAACTCTGCTGCCCTCTGCTGGTTGTAAATGTGAGAATATTGTTACACATTAAAATAATAATGTGACGTCTTTATTTTAGTTTTTGAAACACTGACAGTGAAGAGTTTCCTTTGAGTCACTGAAAAATAAAAAAGCTGACAGCAGTTTTAGTGCTTGTGCTCAGATCCTGAGCAAACAGTGGAAAAGAAACAGCCACACAAACCTGATAAAAAGGTAAACAATGTACTCTGGATAGAAAACAAAGTGCAATGTGTCTTCAGTTTTGTAGGCGGAGTCTATAAAAGCATTGACAGCACTCAATAAGAAAAGCCCACGATGTACAGAGTTATACGTCGTCACCCCCTTTGCTGATCTGGACTACCGTCTTTCCTCGGGCGTGACCCTTCTCCACCTTCTCAAAGGCCTGAGGCACTTGTGAAAAGCTGAAGGTCTCCTCCACCACGGGCCGGATCTGAGAGGGAGGAGACAAATAAGTGAGCAAGTGCTTCTCCTTATAGTCACAGCTCCTGTTCCAGTGAGGATGTTCACATTAAACGTGGCCAAGTCAGTATATGACAAGTTATCCCTGTAAGCCAAAAGCACAGGCTGCTCTGAACACACAATTTATCAGTTTTTTCAACTCTTAGAACTCTATGATGTCAGAGGCACAGAAGCCACACCCACCCACTACAAATAACATTTTCCTTCAAAATAAAGGGTTTGGATTCCTCCACACAGGACTCTTTCATAAAAAGAGCCAGCTATGACGGATTTCCAGGTGAACGAGAATGAGGCGGAGCTAACAAGCAACGGGTGCTGTTGATGGAAACAGCCAATCAGGAGAAGGTTTGCACAAAGGCATGTTTCAGATAGAGGGTAAAGTGGGGAACTGGAGATCTGAAGCTGTGAGCTGGGTAGCGTAGTGGTAAGACTACACACCTTTGTTGTGGGAGTCAGCAGTTCGATTCCTGCCTGGGGGGGCTTTCAAAATTCTGACATCAGGACAGCAGCAGCTTGACTTCTTGTTTATCAGAAGTCAAGCTGATAAAGACCTGGACTTTAGAAGGGACCATAGATACAGTCATAGACAGCAGCTGGATAGCGTAGCGGTAAGACTACACATCTTTGTAGTGGGAGTCACAAGTTCGATTCCTGCCTGGGGTGTCTGTATCCAGTAGGGTCCTAGACCTAGAAAGTGCTACATATGCTACGGCAAGGAGGAGTCAGGACGCCAGAACAGTGGGGGTAATGTAACCCCCCCACTCAGAAGAACGAAGTGAGTAAGATGATCTTTATCTTGGAGGAAGTCTAAGAAGCTGAAGATGGAACTGGAACCTACAAACTCATCCTCCTGTTGTATCCCCCGTGGCTATGCTCTCAGCACCTACTTCTCAGGCTCAGGTCACCCTATGGATCAGCGCAGGCTCAGGCAGTAACAATCGACCTTGGTGGAAGATGTAGTTGTTCATAGATATAGATGTAGTTCTTCATAGATATAGATGTAGTTCTTCATAGATATAGATGTAGTTCTTCATAGATGTAGTTGTTCATGTCATCACCTCCTTGGCTTGGTAGTTTATGTTCTTGTGTTGTATCCTGCTGTGAACATCCTGGTGATGTTTAGGAGCGTTTACTAAGGTGTTCAGCTGACCTGAATAGCTAGTATAAATAACTTGCTTTAATTGAGTTTTTATTAATTAGTTTACTCTTTAAGTTTGTGGCCACGTAGAACAATGAGCAAAAACCATGTTGACAGCTTTATTTGACCTTCTTTGAGCAGGTTCCAAAATCTGTCAGCATTCATGCACGAAATACTTCAACAAGCAACAGCAGCCGTCTAGAATTTCTTCTGTTGTGACAGAGACTTACTTACTTACCAAATGTTGAGCAGGTTTACAACATTAGGAAATTGCTGTGGTACTTAGTGCAAACATACTGTCATACAACGCATAAGAATAAGAATTAAAAGTGCTAAGTAGATAGATATATACATGAGTGCAGGTGGTGATCAGTGCAAACAAGGAATGAATGAATGAAAAAAAATATATATATATATATACATACACATATATATATATACACACACACACACACCTGTTTTAGAGTTAATTTTTAACGAGAAACGTAATTTCCAAGATAAGCAAAATAGAAAATAAAACTAACAAAAAGAAACATCCAACCAGGCGGGGCTATTAAGGAAAACAAGGCAGAGTTCAAGTAGCTATGCTCATGTTTTATATACAGTCTGTGGTATTTAATGTGCTAACAGTGTTAAACCACGATGGAACAGCGTCCATGTTCAGCTCGCAGGGTAAATACAGCGTCATACCTGTTTTGCATCCACCATGTCCCTGATTTCATCCAAGGCAGAGCCGCTGGGTGCAAAGAATCCCCAGCGGTAATGAACTCCTTTCATCAGGTGCTGCACGAAAACAGCAGAAAAAAAAAGAATCAGCACAAACACAGAACACTGAAATACTTTTTTAATTAGGGCTGCCACAAACGATTATTTTGATAGTCGACTAGTCAC